AGTGCGGAGCTAGTGCTCAGGGCAGGGGCAGTGTGTGGAGCTCTGTGCTCTCTTCTGCCCCCCTCCCTCACCTAGGAGCCAGGCTTGCTGCCGGCTGCTTCTGGGGCGCAGCGCAGTCTGCACAGCCAGGACATGCAGGGAGCTGCCGTAGCCCGCCCACTGATACCCCTGCAGCAACAAGACCCAGGCCTGACATTCCACACACACACCCCAGTCCTGGGTTGTGACATGTTTGAAAGCCACTGGACTAACTGACACTAGAATCATGACAGTGGAGCAGCAGCACAGATGCCGCTGGTACAGATGCTCTTTGCCAGCAGGAGAGCGCTCCCCCGTCAGCGAGGGATGTTGAATATCAAGTAATTAACTAATCGAATAGTCGGTGCATTTTTGCATCGACTATTCAATTAGTCAATAGGGCACCTCCGCCTATGAAGTGTTGCGTGGCGCCCAGGGTTAGCTGGGGACTCCCCCGTTGACCTGGGCTCCATGTGGCGCGGCCGCTTTGAAACGCCGCATGCAGCCTGGGGACACCCCAGCTGGCCCCAGGCTGCACACGGTGTTTCCAAGCGGAGGTCAGGCTCCATGCAGTGATGCTGCTTTGAAGTATCCAGCTCCTCTGCCCCCCCTTGCTGCCTCTTTCTGATGGAGGCAACTATCCAATAAGCATTTGCTTTTCAGATAGTTGACTAGTTGTTCACATCCCTACTGTGGGCGCACTAGATGCATAAGGGGCAGGAGCCATGTCAGGGGGGTGGCTTTTTCACTCCTACTCCCACACAAATGTAAGTTATTCCCAGGCAGGAGCAGCACTGTGAAGGGGACTGATTGCGTAGGGAGCAGAGCAAAGGTTGGAACTTAGGAGCACGGCGTTCTGTTTCCATCCCTGCCACTGACTCCATGTAGTTTTGAGCAACCCAATTCACCTACCGATTTTCCCTCGTTGCTGTAAAATGGGGGATATCTTGCAGACAGGGATAAAATGATTACAAAGAACTCAGACTGAAAGCACCATATAACTGGTGTTATTGCTGTGTTGTGGTTTTCCTTTGCTTGTGTCATCCTTATTAGGGAACCACCTAACAATTAGTCCCTGGGTATGTGTCTCTCTCCACATTTAAAGGGACCTTCCACCAGCTTAGAGCACTGCAGGGCCAGCAAAACAAGACACAAGAGTCTCACACTCTTGGTATTTTTCCGTTGAAAAACACGGACGTTTAAAAAAAAAAAAACCCAACTCCTGCAGTACCTCTATAAACATATAAGAGGGGAAAACGGAGACTGTGTCCCGTTTCCTCCCTCCCCTCCCCCTGCAAGTCACACAAATGTTTGAAAAGGGCTTTGACAGCTGCTACAGTATAAAGAAAACACACGCTGGCCTTTCACTAAGGTTGCTGGACCCTATCCAAATGCATTAGGATGCAATCAGTGTTGTCTGTTCTGGGGTTCAAAAGCTGTGATGGCAACTGCTTGTGAACAACAACAGCATTAGAACAGGCTGTGGTGCTTTGGAGCAAGCTCCCTCCAGTTTATTTTTAAACCGGTCTCAATTTACATGGTCAGTCTCTTTTTGCATAAGACTTTTTTGCACTTACCTCCTAAAAGGCAGGGCAGACCAAAAGTCTGCATTAAAACGGTTTTGACAGAAACTCGGACTGGCACTTAAGATGCCAGCTTTTTGCAGACAAGATGCATTGGGCTTTGAAAAACAAAATCCAAACCCTAGATATTTGATTCAGGAATGTTTGGGGGGTGGCTCAATATGAGCTGCAGTTGGATTGATTGCTTCATCACTCCATTCTTCACAGGCTGGGCTCCATACCCAGACTAAACCTCCCATATCCTGAGAGAGAGGGAAGGCAGCATGTGTCTCTTCACTACAGGCTGGCTGGATGGGCAGTGATCAGATCAGTGGGGGGGTTGATAGTAGTCACAATAAATGTCCTGTCAACTCCGGTATGCTGCCAGAACCGGCAGGGTAAAGCGGAGTTGATGGGAGAGCGTCATCTGTCGACTTACTGCAGTGAAGATACTGCGGTTAGCAGACTTAATTAATTCAGCCACGTTATTCCACACGAGGCTGTCAGGAAAAGTATCCCCGATGATGCCATGGCACACCTGGTGGCTGGTCTATGACTCTGTCCTCACCCACAACCATTTCCGATTTGGGGACAATTTATACCTTCATATCAGAGGCACTGCTATGGGCAGCCGCATGACCCCACAAAATGCCAGCATTTTTAGGGCTGGCCTAGAACAGGGTTTTCTTATCTCCCTTCCTTTACTCATGCTACACTGATGGAGGCCCTTGACGAACTGCAAGGGATTTCAACAGTTTCCACCCCACTATGAACCTCAGCCTGGATCAAGCCACACAAGAGATCCACTTCCTGGACACTACAGTATAAATAAATTATGGTCACATAAACACCACCCTATACCGGAAACCTACTGACCGCTACATGTCTCTAGCTTAGGGGTGGGCAAAAGGGCCTTCGTGGGCCAGATCCGGCCTGCCAAGTGGGTTGATTCAGCCCACAGAGGCCCTGCTGCTCCCCCGCCCCAAGGCCAATTAGGGTCTGGGGGTGGGGGGGAAGCGTACAAAGTTTCCTCTGCCCTGCCAGGAGCACGTGGTGCTCTGAAGTGCTGTGCACTCCTGGTAGGGCAGGAGGAGGCTTCACATGCTCCCCTGCCCCCAGGGCCTGGAGGCAGGAGGAGCGAGTAAAGTTTCCTCCACCCTCCATGTCGCAGGGTGGGAGGAGGCTTGGCACGCTTCCCCGCCCCCAGGCTCTGAATGGCTTGGGGGCAGAGGAGCACGAGAAGTCTCCTCTGACCACCAGGAGCATGGATGCCTATGGGGAACTTTGGAGGGGGAGGCAAAGGGGCTTCTCCACCCCCAGACCAATCATGGTCTGTGGGTGGGGAAGCCTGGAAGCATCCTGGTCTTGCCCCTTCCATTTGAGGCTCCGCCCCTTCCGGAGTAGCCCGGGGCCACTTCAAAATTTTTCAAAGTGGCCCCCACCAAAAAATTATTGCCCACCCCTGCTCTAGCTTCCATCCAGGACACGTCACATGATCCACTGTCTACAGCCAAACCCTGAGATACAGTTGTATCAGACAGAGACAAACACCTACAAGATCTTTGTCAGGCATCCTTAAGACTTAAATACCCACCTGGGGAACAGCAGAAACAGACTGACAGAGCCAGACGAGTCACCTACTTCAGGACAGGCCCAAAAAGGTAAACAACAGAACACCACTGGTTATCACCTGCAGCCCCCAGCTACAACCCCTCCAGCACATCACTGACAATCTATAACCTATCCTGAGAAACAATCCCTCGCTCTCTCAGGCCTTGGGGGACAGGCGAATCCTCGCCTACAGACAGCCCCCCAACTGGAAGCAAATACCAGCAGCCACACACCACACCACAGGAACACTTGCCCAGGAACCTTTTCCTGCAACAAACCTTGTTGCCAACTCTGACCTCAGATCTATACAAGTGACACCATCACAGGACCATCAGAGGCTCATCCACACGCACTGATGCGATCTATGTGATCAAGTGCCAGCAATGCCCATGGCAAGTGCTATGCCAATCTGCCATGTACATTGGCCAAACTGGACAGTCTCTACACCAAAGGATAAAATGGACACATCAGACATCAGGAATGGGAACACACCTGCAAGGGACATTCAGTACTTGATTTAAAAGTAACCATCCTTCTACAAAAGAATTTCAAAACTGGATTACAAAGGGAGATACATTTGTAAATAATTCCATTTCAGCTAATACGATCAATTTAGGATTAAATAAGGATCTTAATTGGTTAACACATTACAAAGGCAAATTTCCCCTCTTCGGATATCTACATTTCCACATCAACTGCTGTGAATGAGTCACTTCCACCCTGACTTGATTAGCCTCATTTACACACGTTCCCTCTTTCTTTTGTATTTTTAATATATATATATACACACACACACACACACACACACACACACACACACACACACACACACACGGCTCGACAATTAGTGTAATCTACTCACCTGTGGCGAGTAGATTACAACCCGGAAGAGCCGGCGCAGAGAGATCTGCACATGTGCAGAGCGCAGAACCGCGCGAAACCCCACTTGCCAGATCGCTCTGCGCCGGCTCTTCCACGGGCGAGTAGATTACATTATTTGTCCTGTCCAGTCCAGTCCATCTGATGAGGTGGGTTTTACTCATGAAAGCCCTAATACATCTATTAGTCTCTGAAGTGCCACGGGACTCCTCATTTTTGCATGTATCTGAAGTTGCATAAGTTAGGATGACTGCCCGCAGTAATGTAGACAAGGCCTAAAGGCTCAGCAGGGTCCATCATGAAAGTCCAATCAATAGAGGAGAATACACACACGAGACACTCACACATCTCGTATGAGGCTCTATGACAGCATGTCCAAATTGAAAATGTTCAGTTGTCAGACTAAATTTTTTCAAATTGCAATTTCTCTTGCCCAAAAACCCTTTTTTTCAACCAGCGCTACTAACAAATAATCTCTAGGGGAGAGGTACAAATGGCTGTTAAGCATCTGCCCTTGTACCTTGAAAAATCTATCCCTTACTCGTAACTTGTCAAGTCAGCATTGTTCTCTGCTTAGTTTTGGTTCATGAAGGAATTCTGGTTAGAGAAGTCAAATGAATGAGATTCTTCTTCTCTGGCACCTCTAGGATAAATGTTTGGGTGTGTGGACATAACTGGGTAACAATGATTCTTGCTACAATCTTGACTATGGGAAATTAAAAGAGACAGAACCAAAAAGTACAAGAAAGCTGAATGAAAGAAAATGCTTTTCAATTCTTCGTGCACAACACACCCAAAATTAGCATTGCTAGACCACTGTGCTTCAAATGCACAGCCAGGATAAGCAGACAAATTGGTTCCAGTTGAGAACTAAGATGCCTCTTACACACTTGGCCCCAAAAACGGCAAACAGAAAATATCACACAAATCAAGAGGATTTTTTTAAAACACTTTTAACGTTTGTCAGAGTTTTGTACAAATCAAAGCATCCCTTTAAAATCTCCATTATTACAAACATACAAAGAAACGTTATTACTACAAACCATCAACTACTCAGTTGCATGATCAATGTGTCACAATTAAAAAAACAACAACAACATTGTATATACAAGGTCCTTCTCCCTCTACTGTTACTTCTGTGTCCTGAGGGAAACTAAGAAGGAAAGCCCCCATTTAAAAAACCCTATTAATGCGTTTCAGACTCTCTAAAAATATGTGAAGTATAAAATTAGGTGTGTTTTTTTTCCAGCTGTCACACTCTGGCCAAGTGCAATGATTTCTTTGCATCCTAAAATCTTTTTAAAAACAAAAACACGCAACAGTATCTGACACTTCAAGTGTGCTCATCCACGCTCAAAGCTAATGTCCAAGAAGTGCCTTTGAATAAATTCATTTTAATAAAAAAAAAGTCGCCACTCTCTACTAAAAAAGATTTATAAAAACTCAGCTAGAGCCGTTGGCGTCTCAAAGAGTCGGCCTTCACCTCTTTCCTTTTGGTGCCTGCCCGCAATAGGGTGGTTTCTTTCCTTTACTCCTCTCCAACCCTTGCGCTCTCTCTTCACCTTGTGTGCACAGGGCTGGCCACTGAAATTCCATGGAGTAACTGGGCTTGGAAGCTGCGGGGAGAGCCCATCCGCACATTTCCTCCAGATAGCAGAGTTCTTTTTATCACCCTTTCAGAAATGCCCTGAGGGCTGGGCTCAGAAGCTGCTCTGCTCAGCTCTCCTCTAATGAGGGTGGGTTGGGAGCACACATTCCAGCTGCCCTTGCTGGAACTGTTTATGGTTTCTCTGTCTCTGAAGTCAGACTGTTTCAGAAAAGCAAAGAACCTTCTTAGCCTTTGACCCTGCTGGCTTTTGTTGGGAATAGGGGTTGGGGGCTTCTCTGCCCAGCACCCAAGAAACACTTCCTACCTTGTGTGTCTACTGACCTGACAGAACTCACTTCTTGTAGCTTGCCTCATCCTACATCTAAGCCAGGAGGGGAGGTATATAAAATGTGAGGTAGGGTGGAGAGGAAGAGGGGGAACTTGATTTGGGACTGAGGGAAGGTTGAGGGAGTGTCTAATATAGCCTCCAGCTCTCAGTCTGCCTTTACTGCAGAAAGCAGCGCCAGAGAAGTTAGTTTAGACCCAAGCTACTATTAGCATAAACTGAAAAGCCAATGTTTACTGGTGACCAGAGCTCCACGGGGCCACCAGATGGTATATGCAATTATTCTGCAAAACCCTCAAACCCAAAGCTATCAAAACAGGCAGTTAGGTTGGTCAACCCTCTAATTTAAAAACCCAAGATAAATATATAGCCTGGATTTTGGAAAGATAGCTTAACCATGCCAGGCAGATCAGCATGCCCCCTTCTGCTCTTGTCCCTCCCACAAGGAAAGGCTATTCAAAGGCTTCCATTGAAAGAAGGAACAAAAATAAAGCTCTCATCATGCCCCCAAAACTGTTGGCAAGCCTGAAAAACAGCCAACCATGGATTGTGCCTGAGACCAGTAGATTTTCCACTGCAGAGAGGGGTGTCCAATAAAGAGGAGTCCTTGTTTCTAATGTATGAAGTGGCAGTGGTAATACCTGTTTTCCAAACAGGTATCTTCTGGAGACCATTGGCCCGGCATGGCAGCCAGCAAGATGCGTGGGGGCACAGGTCCCCGTGGATCACTATTCTAGAAAACAGTTTTCAACAGATATTGAAACCAGACACACTCAAACATGCTGTCGAAAGGCAACACACACCAGGCGTTTCCATCGAGTCGATAGCAATCAGATAATAACAAAACTGAAGTTTTGGATTCCAGCCGAACAGACATGCCTCCTTGGTTAATGCTGGGGAAGCTCCCAATTTGTTTTTGTTTTAAGGGGAGGTTATTGCTCCTGACTTCTCAGGCTTTTTGCCCTTGGATAGGGCAGCTGCTTGCTTCAGGAGTTCTCTGTTCTTGGCCTGGAAACATAGTGAAAATGGGTATTTTAATGGCATGGATCATTGTTATTCAAGAACTGCCTGGGCAGGCACGGCTGGCTTCCTGGATGCAGACCAAAAGCAATGGAAAAGTTGTTGTATTCGATCACTCCAGCAAGTCCGGTATTCCAGTGCCATCAGCTGGCAGCACCCGAAGCTAGAGAGGCAAGCAAAAGCCCGTGTGCCTGACCAATCTAAATGGGAGGAGGGAGGAATTTCTTCCCAACTGCTGCTGACAATCAGCTTCCATCGTGAGGCACAACTGAGTAAGTGGTTTTTCATTAGACAAAATAAGGAGGGGGCCTTTCAATTCCATGGGGAGTCGCCTGGGAAGCGTCCCTTTGCTTCCCCCATCTCCTTTCGTTTTTTGGTTTGACAAGTGCCGAGTTAACATTTCGGAGACCAAAGTTCACAGAACAAGGTGCAGGGTGAATAGGGGCAGTGAAAGCTCCCTCCACATTGAACCCCCAATCCTCTTCCACGGACCAGCTCTAGGGGCGAGTGGCTAGATCAGGACCACTGGCCTCTGACACGCTTTGCCAATGTTACCAAGAAACACCGTTGCAACGGCAAGTTCTGAGATACAAAGCCAGGCCTCAGTGAACAGGTGAGGAGACAGATGATAGCTCATCAATCACTCAACTTTCAGTCACTTCTCTCTGAGACTGGATTCAAACAAGGCAACTAGAAGTGAAAGGCTCTGTGTCTTATCACAACCCCTCGGAACCACCTCTCTCCACACCCTCTGGCCTTCTGATTATGTTGTTGGTATAGCACAAGCTAATATGCAAAGTCAGACATGGTTGCTCTGGCTCAGTTTCCAAACTGCCTTGAGTGGGCATGCGAGGTGCTATGGTGGAGAGCTGGTGTGAGGCAGCCAAGTCTCCAGCTGGGATCACAAAAAGAGAATCAACACTTCACATAGGCAGCACTAGAGCAGAAAGGAATTGCCTCTACCTCCTGCAGGTTTTAAGAACAGAGGCACCCACTCAAACCTGAACATGTCCCTCCCACTCCCTGCCTCCAAAAACCAGGACATTAAAGAGGATTTTTTTTAAAACAGAATGATTCTTATGAACACTTCAAGGTACCTGCAATACACTGCCACAATCTGAACTTGCCTCTGCCAATGCTACCTGAAGTATTACAAGACCACCAGGTTCTGGACTGACTCATTTAGAGCTCAGTATTAAAAAACCACACAATGCTCCTCCCAGGAATGACTGGTGTGCCAGAGCCAGCCAGTTCAGTTATTTGATTCTTCTTTTATTTTAAAATCGGGCAAGTTTGATGCTATTGAAAGGTGTTGGACTGACAGCTTTGGAGACTGAAGTCCTCTCTCCAGCCACAGAGCAGGTACTGCACAGGCTGCAGCAGTGCCAGCTTCCCCACATGGTGCCAGACAGATGTACTTCTGACCTAATGTGGAGGGCTGGAATCAAAAAACAAAAGGGACCTCAGTTCCTCTTGGCCTCTCGGCTGAGTCTGCCAACAACCAGTCAGGGGCAACAACATGTAGCATGAACATTTGGCCTACTAGGAACTGGAATAAGAATGTCAACTCATTCTACACAGGCCACCTAACACCCTGCACAAGGGAACAATTTTGGGACACATGGGAAGATTCAAGTAGGCAACATAAGAGATCAACATAAGAGGGCTCTGACTTCTGCTACCAGCCCCACAAGCCATCCAGCGTCTTCTAATTTTTCAGTTCTAAAAGAAGGAGTCTCAACTCCGATCCCTAACATGACAACACCATATACCACAGAACTGTACTCAGAGTCTGGGACAGTCTCAGACAACTTAAGAAGTTGCATAGTGGAGAGGAACTCACAAGCACCGATAGATTTCTGACAGCAAGTGTAATCCACAAAAAACAGTCCTACCCTAATAATTAACTTGGGTGTGTGGTGATGGGGAAAGAACATTTTCTGCTCTGTCTTATCTGCACCTTTGTTTTTTTCCTCGTTGCTAGAGCTTTGGGTGATTGTAAACTCCAGCCAGAGTAATTAAGAAGATGAACTTTGAACCCTATATATGAATTCTTTCTTTTAACCAATTGCCTGTTGACCTTCTCTCTTCTGCAAACCAGAATTCACCCCTGCCAACAGTCTCTGTTTTCATGGCCTGACCAAAAAATAGACATTTCCTATAAGCTTATAGACTTCTTTACAATGATAACAGAAGTCCTATTTAGTCCAACCAAAAGAACCCAAACAAAACAAAACGAAAAACAAAACAAAACCAACTCTATCCTTTTTTTGTTACCCTTTGATCTTTTTGGCTACTGAACTAATAAATCAAGAGCTTGGTGGAGCAACTTGACACTGGTAAAAAGTAAAATGTGTTTCATGGTTCCCATCCAGTTTACTGGGGTACACCTGTACCAGACAATACAATGAAACCGAGCCTAGAGAGAAACTAGCAAGGGGTTTATAAAGTTTCAGGTGCATGTCAGTGGGGGCCGCGTCCTATTCTAGGCAGTACTTCAGGCAGTACTTCAGGTCAGGATTGAGAGGCATTAGCAGAGCTGTGGAGGCAGAAGCCTGGGAAGTGTTCCACTCTAGTTTTCAGTCACTCCTGCAAAGACCACAGTGTGGCAAATTAGAACAGAAATGACGTCACCTGTAATTGCTCCATCACTTCCTTATGCGTCTTCTCCATTTGGTTCATTTTGGCCCTCATCTGGGATTCTTGGTACTGCAGATCGGCCTTTAGCTCCGTGATCTAATTGAGAAGCAAGCAGCTTAGGGGACTGAGGAGAAAAGGGACACCCCCAGAATCCTTTGCCCCCAATGGATATCCTGGCCTAGAAAGTGTCTCTGTGGAAGCCAGCTTGGTCCAGAAATGGCACCATCTGGGGTAACCCAGATCCTGCAGGCCACAAGGGGCTCAGAACATTTACTGTCCAGCTGCAGGCCCAAGGATTTGCAGCTGGACAGTAAATGGAATATTCTCACCCCATGCTGTGAAAGCAGCCAGGGCAGAGGTATATCAGCAGAGCTGCCTGGGGCCCATAGGGGTGGAGCCTTGTCTGAGGACTGCCAGCTCCTCCTGTGCACACATTGCTGCTCTGGGCTTTCTTGGACGCAACTCCATATGCGACCTACCTGCCTACTGTCATTTCATGGCCTGCAGCAATGATCAGGAACTGGCAGCAAAGATGACTGGACATACCGGGAGTACAAGGCAAAGGAAAAAGGGGTAATGTTTATTTCTTGGCAGTAGATGGTAAGAATTTGATCCTCTCTGCAATCCTGGCCCCTCCACCTCCAAACAGCCAGAAAGCCACCTTCCTTCCTGCCACAGTGCCGGTCCCTCGAACCCAGCTTGCAGATATCACCCACCCGATTGTAACCCACAAAGCTAACAAGACAGACACTGTGCGAGCATGCAAGGAATGGCCTTTTAGTAAGCGGTTCATAATCCCCTCTGCAGTTTGTGTGAGGAAGGGCCCAGAGCTGTACCTTCTTCTCTTTCTCCAAGATCATCTGATCCTTCTGGTGCAGCATCTTTTTCAGAGTGGCCACTTCTTCCTTCAGCTGGGCGATAATAACGAAGTGGTCGGTGCCAGGGGAGTCCAGGGCAAGGTCTGGAGAAAAGCTGGAAGAGAGAGAAGGGAAAGGACCTCATCACATCTCCTTTTGCTCACCGGCGCACGGAAGCCCTTCCACAGATGACATCAGGAACAAGGAGGTTTAGCAGAAAGCTGCAGCTGAATAACTTCTTCTATTCAAAGGCGACATGAGATCTCTACGACCTAGTAACCAGACACCACGGGAATTCAGAGATATGTAATTCTGATTTGTATCGGTGACAAGTTTAAAATATACAGTAAGAGACAATTGGGGACTGTTAGGGACGTTTTCACCCATTAGCCAGTTTCCATGCAAATAACGGTAGCCACAATCTATTTTCAAACAAAGAAGTGGGAAAAAGCAATGAGTTGGTGAAACTTTATGCAATCACCTACGAACCCTTTTTAGGTCAGAGGGAGTCAATAGAAGTGGGGAGAAAACCTTTCACTAAATGCAAATCAGGGAGCTGGTAAACAACGGAACAGGAAAAGAAACCAATTCAATCTCGAAGGCAAACAAACAATAGAAAGAGGACACCCAAGTGACAGCCAAAGTTATGGGGGGGAGAAGGGAACAGGAAGAGGAACATTGGTCTTTTCATATTTTGATTCCAGCCATGGCACAATAATTTGGGAAAAAGCTTCATTACCACATCAAAGGAGAAAAAGGCTACTCAGGATGAAAGGAGGAGAGAAGGAAAGATATACAGTCCTTTTGAGATACCACTCACACGTTAGACACTATGAATCTAGCTGCCTGGCTGATGGCTTGTTTGGGTGAGACACACTGCCCTTTGCGGTAAAGCAGGACGTTTCCTGGGAAGTACCAACGTTCTGTGCAGCGAAGTTTATTATTGAGCATATTGCAATAATGCCTACGAGCCCCGGTCCTGGATCAACCGCCCCTCCTTGTTCTAGGCATTGTACAAACACAAAATAAAGAGCAGGCACCTGCCTGAAGTATGCTCCTAGCTACCACTGTTTAGTCAGCCGTTACAATACCCCTCTGTGCTAAGAAACAGTTTCCAATACTACATGCTATTGCCGCATACGTTATTTGAAAATTAATAAACAAACAATGCAGCCTGGACCCTGTGTCTGGATTGTGAATTCAGCCCTGCTAGTGGTAGAGTCTAAGGCAAATGCAGTGTGGCCTAGCACACTGAAAGCAAAGGATCAGATTGTAAAGATAACCATAACTGCTACCGACTCACTCTCTGTGGCCTGGGACAAGTCACGTCACCTGTGCAGCAGTTTCCCCATTCATAAAATGGGAATAAGAATATCTGCTGCCTGCTTTCCAAGGGAGTTGCTGCAGTACTTTGAAAAGACAGAATCTAATTGGACATAGTTTGAACCATGGGACAGGGTCTCAGGGATTTGATGGAGAAAGAATTTTCCTCCCTTATTTGGGGGGAGGGAAAAGGTCACTGCTGGGAGTCCAAGGGAAGAAATTCAATGACTGGAGTTAGCGTAAGTGATAAAAGTTATAAGGCAGTCTTGCAAGGATGGGAAAGAAGTTCTGGCCAGGCAGGAAAGGGAAGCTTAATACTGCAGGACTGTGGGGGTGTATCTGCATTAGAGAGTTTTGTTGTTATAGAACATGGTGTTATGTGTCTCAGAAGGGTAGCCACATTGATACATGTCTGCAAAAACAACAAGGAGTCCTGTGGCACCTTACAGACTAAGATATATTAGTGCTTAAACTTTCACAGGTAAAACCAACTTCATCAGATGAATTGGACAAATCTGATACAGTGCATTTTACCCACAAAAGCTTATGCCCTAATAAACTAGGTAGTCTCTAAGGCTGTGTCCAGACTCAGGGTTTTTTTCAAAAAAAAGTAGCCTTTTTTCGAAAAAACTTCACCTGCGTCTAGACTGCAGCCACGTTCTTTCGAAATTAAATCGAAAGAACGCGGCTTTTCTTTCGACGGCGGTAAACCTCATTTCACGAGGAAGAATGCCTTTTTTCGAAAATGCTCTTTTGAAAAAAGGCGTTCTTGAATGCCAACAGGGCTTTTTAGAAAGAGAGCATCCAGACTCACTCGCTGCTTTCTTTCGAAAAAGTGACTTGCTTTTTCGAAAGTTCCACTTGCAGTCTAGTATCAGAGGGGTAGCCGTGTTAGTCTGAATCTGCAAAAGCGACGAGGAGTCCTGTGGCACCTTATAGACTAACTGAAGTGTAGGAGCATAAGCTTTCGTGGGCAAAGACCCACTTCGTCAGATGCATGCTGAGCTATAGTTCATCTTTAAGTTTGACACAATCAACTCTGGATTAAACAAAGACTGTGAATGGCTTGCTAACCCAGGATACCTCATTGTTTTTGCATGTTGTTTATATAAAGCATTTAACAAGAAGAGGTATTTACCTGCAAGTCAGCTTGTTAGGGTTAACTCTGAGGTGAAACCCACGTTACACATGGATCGGCCAGTCTTTGACTATACTGAGCATAGTTTTAATTGAAATGTGCTGCAGCACAATCGTCATTGCTGAGAGTAGACATGGCTCTTGCACATGCAGTAGAAGAGACTTTTTGTTCTTAAACCTATCGACTATTGCAGGCAGCCATCCCACACAAGAGCCTGCATCCTATTATGTCGTAACGCATTACTGCTCTGCAATGTGACAAGCAGGTACCAGACTGCAGTAGGGAATCAAAGCAGCTTCTGGCACTTTTATATGTGACAATTCAGTAATGTAACTCTTAGGACCACCACTCTCTGGATAAGAGCTTTAGGTTACCACACATCACATAGATGCATGGGGGTAGAGAGGGAGCAGAAGAGAACAAAAACTAAGACTCTCTGTGCAGGGCAAGCCAAGTTTCTTTACTGAAATGTTTACAAGTAAGCCCTTGCCTACTGTATTCCATTCCTTGGCTACAGGGGGCTCCCAGAATTATAGAAAGGCAGAGCTGGAAAGGGCCTTGAGACACCATCAAGTGTAGCCCCCTGTTCTGAGGCAGACTCAAGGAAACAAACCATCCCTAAAAGGTCCAGCCTGGTCCTAAACACCACCCATATCAGGGATTCCACAACCTCCTTTAGAAACCTATTCCAGTACTTAATAGTGATGTCACCAGTTAATCGGAAAGCATCACCCTCAGCCAGGCTGAGGTGGACCTGGTCTGGCTAGAGCAGCCCCTGCCCGCAGGCGGCCCCGCCTAGCCAGAGCAGCCCACAGTGTGGTGGGTGTGGCTGGGCTGGAGGAGCACCCCTCCCCTCCTGCCATGGGATCCTCTTTAACTGTAATGTTTAACCAGTTAACTGATTAAACCGGATTTTACATCGCTAGTGCTTAACTATTCTGAGAATTTCTCCTCCCCCGCCCCCCAATAGCTAACCCAAGACTGGGTAAGAAGCTGTCAGCAGGCTGAATCTGGCCTGCCTAGCTCTTTCATCCTGCCCGTGACAGCCCCCGGTCCCGCCCCCTAAGGCATTACCTAGAGCCCCCAGGGAGGCGTGAGCCCTTTCAACTCCTGCTATTTAAAGAGCTCACGTCTTCCCCGAGGCTGTTGAAAGAAGCAGTTGAAAGGGCTCCCAGCTCCCAGCCCTGCTGCTAACCTGTTGCCTGGGAGTCACGAGCCCTTTCAACTCTGGCTATATAAAGGCCGGCCCCTTCCGCCTGAGGTCCTACCCCTTCCAGGGTGGTCCCCCTTCAAAAGTTATTGCCCACCCTGATCTAACTTAAATCTTCCTTGCAATGGATTGAGCCGATTGCTTCCTGTCCTACCTTCAATGGACCCGGAAATCAGTATCTTTTTTATAGTAGGGATATTAAATATTGGTTAACTGAATAGCTGAGTAACCTCATGAATTCTTATTGATTAGTTGACTAGTCTATAATCCCAAGGGGTGGGGCCAACACCAGTGCACTCTGGCCCCACTCCGGGAGAGCCCCCTGCCACTCTGCGCTGCTGCCTCCATATCAGTGTGGGGTGTCAGTTGAGAGCTGGTCTGCAAAGGGAGCCAGTTTAAAACCCAGCTCCCCTCACAGGACACAGCACGAGCTGGAACTTTACATGCAGAGCTAAAAATTTTCTGGCGGGGCGTGGTGGGGTGGGGGAAAATGCGTGTAGTCTATAGTATTAACCTATAAGCTTTTGCTTATTGGTTAATCAGTTAATCGACTACACTATTACATCCCTATGTAATATGTTGGAAGACTGTTTTTTAACCTTTCCATAGCCAAGTTTTCTAACCCTTTCCTTGTGTTTGTTGCTTTTCTCTGGACCCTCTCCAACATGTCCACATCTTTCCTAAAGTGTGGCACTTAGAAGTAGACACAGTGTTCAACGGAAGTCTCCCCAGTGCTGAGAAGAGTGGGACAATTACCCCCCTTGCCTTACATCCAACACTCCCGCTGAATGACTGTTCAGTATACCACTGAATGACTGTTCACAGCTGCACCACAGTGTTGGCTCTTTCAGTTTGTGATTCGCAATAACTAGTGAATCCTTTTCAGCAGTTCTACCACTGCCCCAGTTATTCCATATTTAATTTTTTCTTCCTCAGTGTAGTACTTTATGGAATTTTATCTTGTTGATTTCAGACTAATTCTCCAAACTTGTCAGTCATTTTGAATTCTCATCCTCTCCTCCAGAGTGCTCACAACCTCTCCCAGCTTGGTATCATCTGCAAATTTTAGAAGGATAATCTCCACTCTATTATCCAAGTCATGAATGAAAATATTAGTTAGTACAGGTGACCCCCGACTTACAACCCCCTGCATTTACAACCATTTTTTTCCACGCGAGATAGCTCCTAAAACCCTCCAATTTACGTCTGCAGCTCGCACTTATGACAGTGAATGATGCAGACTCTACGAATCATCCCAAAACAGGAAACATACAAAGTCAGTCAGACTCGCCAGCCTGCAGCTGCTGCTTGAACAGTGTCTCCACCACATCTGTCTTCACTTTTTAGTTATTTTTGTGCATTATTTGAACTATTTAGTTTAGTTTTCCTCCATTTCCGTAGTCAATTTTGGTATTTTTAGGGTATGAAATGGATTTCCAGGAAT